AAAAAATATAAAATCACATGCAAACTTTGCAAAATATAAGAAACCTATCCTGACTGATAAATATATTTAAGTCAGCTTAAATTAACTCAGCTATCTAAAAAAGATTGACGACTTATCGGTACCCCTAACATAATACTGATTGTTCTTTTCATAGAAGGAACAAAATAGACTTCAGATAACGAGACAGAAAAGTGAGGCAGTATGTTGCCAACCAAAGATTTGTGATCACTTGTATTATTATACGGGGTGTGCCCTTTAAAACAATATACTATAATTTTTTCTAGCTACATCGATTAAATATACATCAAGCAAACCAAATTTTCTTGAGATTTGTAAAACAGAAAAAAATGTGAATCTTCAGTTTTCTGTTTCAACTTTATTTAATTACCATTGATATAATGGGATTATTAATGGCAATACTCTTTTATTTCAAAGGTGAATGAAATCGCAAAAAAAAATCGAACGTCAAGTTCCAACGGATCATTGTAGAGAGGAAATTTTAAATCCACGGAAAATCCACATGTGATGCAATTTTTTTGACGTTCATAGCGATGTTTGAAATAGAATTTTCGAAAAAGATTTTTCAAAGTACGTTCACTTTTTCACCTGATACGTGATATGGAAATATTTTAGAAAAATACGAACCGTGGATCGCCAAAGTAGAAGCTTCATCCTTTAAAATGAGCTGAGGTAGAATATTATACGATGTTTTTTCACAAAGCTACAGCAGTTCGAATATCATGAATTTTTCACCAAAATTGAAGCGCTTCCTCAAATTTTACACTTCGTTTATAAACCGGATGTACGAGGTGCCCCATTTTAATCTATAAATGCAATTACTTTCTGGTTCGTTACATGACCCCTTGCCCTATGATATCACGTTAAACTCACGATGGAAATTTTAAACCACATTTATCAATTCTAAACGTTATTTTTTTTAACATAAATTAAATATTTCTTTTCTATTATAAATCGTTAACATCTGAAGTGAATGTACCAAATAGAATAAGTACTAAATTCTCTGTTCTTCCAATAAATTATTAACGTTAAAGTACTTTCGTGAAGCACAGTTACGAAAATCATAGGGAAAATCAGATTCGTTATTTAAAACGTACCACAAATGCAATTTTTCCTACTTAAAGAACAACAATTACATTTAATTTGTTTCTACGGGCGTGTATATGAGATGTGTTAGATAACATTCACTATAGCATTCAACTGAAACTTTATTTCCAAGATCGTTTCGAATACTCAATGCTTTGAAGATATCAATAATTCAAAAATCGGAACCAGTTATTTCGACTGATACGTCTAATATTAAATATCAAACTTTATCATGTCGATTCAAGTGGTCACTGAGAGTCATCTCTCGAAGGGTTAATACAGGACACCCCGTCTACAGGGATAATTGCAAAAGCTAGTTCCATACTTTTGACCAGCGGTGTATACGGAAAGCTGAGAAATCGTGGAGGTACCTATTCGCCAGAGAGAGCTGCAGGATGACGGATGGAGGGCAGGAAACGACACAGGAACCGGAACCCATTACTCCAGATAACAACTTCCCTAAGGCTTCCTTTCCTTCTTCTACATCCACCCGTAAACCTGATACACACATGAGCGTTCCAGCGCGAACTCCAGCAATCCTTACAGCGGCAAGTACGAATCCGGAAATTTACCACTTCTGTCGCCATTTTACCGGGATACCCGGCCGCGCAACTGGTGGCCCTCCATGGCGTGCCGTATAAAACGCGGACGAAGAAATCATTGATCGCGCCCGGAACGAGAATTGACCATCGCGACGACCGCCCCAGCGTTCCCGGCTGAAAAGTTAGGCGTTAACGAGCAAGCACGTCGAATTATGAATACGGGACTCGCTGACACTGTTTTAACCCTTTCAATGTCGTTAGACTTTTGTACTTAGAATTATAATAGAAGCAAGCGGTGAATTGAACCTGTTAACTGTGGAATTTAGATTAAAAAATCTCTCGTTTTGCGTGTGTACTCGTCAAGCAGGACGAATGCACGGAGGATATATTTTCATGAGAAACCAAAGCAAAACGAAGAATTGCATGTTTATGTAAAATAAAGAATTCACCGTTGAAAATTATTATCATTTTAATGAGATTAATATTATAAGAATGACCTGCAAAAATCATAAGAGAATCTTTTCAACCAGCGCACGTCGATTTTAATGAAATTTATGTGACACGTAGTTCGCAAGAAAATATTTTACACGTATGTTTTCTTATCAACACTGAAGGGGTGAAAACACTTAAAGTTGAGCGTTGAAAGTATATTTTTTACAATATCTTTGAAACTAGGGGATGAAGGGAAGAAATTATTTCTTCAGATTGTTCGAATATGTTAATTACTATATCGCCGAAATTTTTACAGGCTCTTCGAATAAAAAAAACCCTGTTGTTTCCATCTCTGAGATAAACTTCTGGTAAACATTTAATAACATACTGTAATAACATAACAAAGTTATTCGCAAGAAATTATCATATGTATTGGATCCAATTAAGTGCAGACTAACAGTATATTAAAGTGAAAATGAAATATACTTTGAAGTGGTAATAAAAATAAAAAATTATCGAAGTAAATGAAAAATAATCGCATAACGATTTTTATATATAATTGTTCTGTCCGCAGCATGCGACCAAAATTTATGGATCACCATATATAACCGTCAGAGTAAGGATTGAATGTGCAAGGACACCTGGAAACCAGATTTATGACACGGACGATTGAAAGCTGTTATTTTTGGGGGATCTTTGGCACATCACATTTTTCAACGGCCAACGAATTAATATTTGGCCAGAGCTTGCAAGTGGATTTATGACTGCACACTTTTGATAAACTCGTGCGCTTCTGGTCTCCTCACGTTTACTTATTAACACTAGTACCACTGAGCATTCATCGGAATTGATATGCAATCCTTATAAAGATTGTAACAATACATTTGTTTTCGATTTCTTTAGATATTCGTTATAGTATTTAAGTGAAACTATTTATTTTCAAAATCATTTCAGATGTGTAATACTTTTAAAATACCAATAAAAAAGAGAACTAACAAAGAGAACCCGAAGGAAGGTAAAGAAAGCGCTCTGTTCAAATTCACTGAATTTCTATTTGGAATATAACTTCGTAAAAACGATACACGATAAAAAAGGAACAAAGAGAAACCGAAGGAAGAATAAGAAAGTGGTTTGTTCAAATTCACTGAATTCCTATTTCGAATGCGAATAACTTCACGAAAACGGTACACAAGAGCAAAGAAGAAACGAAGACAAACCAAAAGGAAAAAAAGAAAACTGTTCAAATGACTTGAATTTCTACTCCAAATATGAATAACTTCATGAAAACAGAGAACCTAAAGAAAATGGCTTGTTCAAATTCACTGAATTCCTGTTTCGAATGCGAACAACTCCACGAAAACGGCACACAAGGGGACAAAGAGCAAACGAAGAGAGACCGAAAGGAAGAGTCCGTGAATCGAGTTGCATCGGGGTTTTTAGAATCGTCCGATTGCCCCGCGAAAGGATTAGCGATATCGCGCTTTATACAGGTCAATTGGATAGCGTTGACGGACATGCGAAGCGTGAAGAGGAGATTCAGGTTGAAATGGAAATGGGCGTCGCGGTAGGGAAACCACCGACGCCACCGCCGTTGCTAAATGGGCTCCGAGCGGGTTACCCAACTGTTGCGCCTTCATCAGAAATTTATGCAGAATCCCGGGTTAACCGTCCCGGCCAATCAGCTTTGTAACTGAGCTAACGTCGTATCGGCGGGGGAACGAAACCGAGAGAGGCCCTGATTTAGTAAAAAGGCTTTTAATATTTCGCACCTTCGGCGCCGTGACACACGCTCTCAACTTTGATGCGCCGACACCGCGGCTGGCTCTACCGTTGGATGCTCCTCGGCGCGTGTCTTCGCTCTTGATTACGGTGATAAACTATGAAAACATTCGCGCGAGACACGAGATTAACCCACCGATCGCGGATCTCATGGTTCAGTCGCTGACGCTGATATTGTATTTATGTTTTTGCTCGTGTGGCAAGGAAATTCTTGAATAGTTCAAAATTATTGGAATTATCAATTAGTCATATATTTCAGGTATATGGTATATTCAATATACTTCGTATGTTTCATATATTTTATATATTAGTGATATATGAAGTTATATCAATAAGTCAAGTTTTCAACCATGGCAATTTTTTCTATCTACCGAAGCAGTTTAACGATATTTCTACTGAAGGTATCAAAAGGCACCTTTTGAAATTGTAACTTAAAAGTATTTTCTCAGTTTAATCATTCTTTCTGAATTGAATATTGGATATTTTCTATGGTTAGTTTTGTAATGGTTAAGGAAAAGTCGAAAAATCAATTCGGAATATACGACTACAGGGTGTCTTTCTAGTTTACAATTTTATAGTTTTGTTTGGTTATGGATAACTATATTGACAAATAGTAATTTAGTAATCGAAAACATCAGAAATTAGGAAATATTTTTAAACAGAATTGAACTTATTAACTCCTTTCCTTATAACAACGTGACAGACTCGTGGTACTTAATGTGGAACTTAAAAATTACTTACTTCATTCAAATACAAAATAAATATTATTCTTCTGCAATCAATTATTATACTTAAAAGGAAACATAAGCATAGAATATGCCTAAATTTTTTCTCTCTTTCCAATAAATTCTTAATGACAAAGTAGTCGTATCAGAGTTGAGAAAGAAATCATAGGACAAGGAGTTAAAATTTCTATGCCAATAATTCAATGAATTTTATTAATTTAAATAAGGTGGTATAAAAACTGACAGAAAATTCAGTGAGAAAGAATGGAAACTGATCGAATTCCTCGGTCTAGTCAAGTTACCTCCTAATGCTAATGAAAATTACGCGAATTGAGAGCTGGATTCGTTTACTACACAAACACGATGAAATAGAGATCTCTGATGAACATGTCAATAAAATGCGATTCTAACGACTTACCGACGAGAGCCAGGATCACCGTGAGGAGAGATGTTGCCGGGAACGATACCGTTAAATTCAACTCCAGCATTTGAAGCAGGTCCACTGAAACAAAACGAAAAGAAGTATATTTCACATGAAGAAACCGATGAGCGGTTTCATTTACGATGCGGCGGACCAAGATGTTCAACCTTTTCCACTTGGCAACTATATTTCTGTTTCCTTACGCTCACTCCATAAATAAACGGTATTTCGGGTAACGTTTCGCATGATTTTTTAGGTATTTGCAATAACGCCGAAAAGAAATAGTTGTAAATCAAAATTTATGATCGAACGTACCATGTATAATGACGATAAGCATTTTAAGAACGTTCTATTTTCATAGGAGACTTAAAGTTATGAATCTTTACGTCTAACGCTGTATTGGACGCAGTTGATAATGTCAAGAAATTTCGGATTGTTTGTTTATTATATCCAAGAAACATTACATTTCTTTCATTTTTGAAATAAAGTTTTATTACGTACATCTTGTAACGTTTCATTGGAACAATTGGATTATTAGGGATCAGAATAATATAAGTTGTAAGTAATCTTTATTAAGCACAATATTTGGAGTCTGATTCAATTACAAAATGTTAGCTTTCACGAGAATCGAAGTAGAAAGTGGAAACAAAATTCTACTATTATTAGACTATTATTATGTAAAATTGTATAGTAAAGGAATATGTTAATTACTGTATCGTCGAAATTTTTACGAACACTGAATAAAAGAAGTTTCCATCTCTGAAATAACAATTCTGGTAACTGTCTAATAACTTATTGTAACAATATAATACAGTTATTTGTAAGAAATTATCATATATATATATATTTGACCCAATTAGGTCAACAGAATAATTTCATATTAAAGTGAAAAAGAAATAAACTTTCAAATGGTAATAAAAATAAAAAATGGTCAATGTAAATGAAAAACAATTTTTATATATAATAGCTCCACAACAATTAGTGTTAACACTAAAAATACCGAGTAATTAAATTAACTTTTCGACATTTCCATATAGAAACTCCAAGAATGCTGTCGAGACTTTAATCGATTTAGCATCAATTCCTTTAATAATTTCTCAGAGAAACCTTACCTTTTTAATGATTGCAAAAAGAAGAAGTCAGAAATGGGTCATTTTGACCCGTTCGTTAGTCTTGTGTCAAGGGTTAAGAATGCAACACGAGAGAGTCGAGTAAGGGGCTCATAAAAATCCGTTTCATATTTAGCGCTTTGAATTCACGGTGACGGAGGTATATTGTATCGAAATCGTTATGCTCGGCGGCGACGAACGGTACGAATTTAATATTTATTAGATACTCGGTGACGAAAAGTTTCCCAGAGAAAGATAGAGAGAGAGAAAGAGAGAGAAAGAGGGCGGGAGGTTATTACAGAACTTGAGGGCCGCGAAGAAATCGTGTCGCGTTCGACGAGTCGGTTCAAAGCTCAATAAGAATTAATTTCAAAACTTCCGCGATCTCGATTTAAGTTCCGGCAAACTTTCGATCGGCGCCTTGAGACGGCGGACAAGGTTTCGCTTTCCCTGGCGCACCTAATCCATATACAACTCCCGATTAATTTATTCCATTCGCTCTTTTATGACCACCCAGTAACGCAGCGTAATCGTCAGCTTCCTAGGAATACAAATTAGATCTCGATCGAATTGTTCGCTCCGATCATCGGGCGATCGAGTCAACCACGCAAATTCCCCGAAGGTTTCTTTCGGATCACGCCTATTTTTTACGTTTCTTTCTAATGATTTTGAAAAAAGATATGTTCTATAATTATTCCACTGAACATCCTGCATATTTGTTTGATTCAATTAATGGATTTTTATATTAGAAGTGACACAGACGAACTTAATTACACGAATATAAAAGGAAATGTGTATACATCAATCAATAATTCAATCGATTTGTAAGTAATTGGCATTTAAATTGTTGATTTATTCCATCTTATTTGTATATTATTTACGCTTGGTTCGCAAAATTTGATTTTATAATGAAACACGCGGATTAAACATTTTTGCGAATGATAGGATACACCTGTGAATTTAATTTCACTTGTAAAATATGTATAACAATATCAGGACACCGGGACATTAAACGAAATGAAAACAGCTTGATTTTATATTACAAGATAATACATAATTTAATAATATATGGAGTAATGATGCTTTGACAACAACAAATTTATTGTTGCAGTATTAGGTTGGCCAAAATGTCTTAATTTCTGCTAATTTTTCAATGTATTTACTATTTAATAGTAAAATATTATGCATAAGAAATTTAGCATTTGTTTCCATACTTAACACTAAACGTCAAATGACCGGTTTCAAAATTTGATTAAAAATTCTGCATTTGCTTCCAACCATTTCATTTTGTATCAGTCCTTTTATTTTCCGATTAATGAGTTCTCCATTCTTGTTTCCTTTCGTTTCCGTTTTCACTAAGAAAAAATCTATATCATTTAATTCCTTTACCTTCATTTTATAGTAAATTATTTCTATAGACGTATATAAAGCACCGGTACGTTTAGTGTTAATACTAACAAACATTAACTCGTTTTTTACGCGTACAACCTAAAGTCGACTCGAATCATCGAACTTCGTTGAAGTGAAACGGATCGGATCGACAAGGATTCATTTAATTAGATTACATTTCGATGGAGACAAAGGAACCGAGAAAGAACTATTCGCAGTGCACGAAACCCCGGACCGTTTCGACATAATTAAAACTTGGTCCGCGTAACTCATTCGAGGCCGGAATTAAAAATGTCCGGCTCCGCGGGTTAGTTGCTCGGAAGCCGTATGCCGAGTACTTAATTCTTCAGGGATGACTGAAACTTTCGCGAAGGTGCTTTCTTCTATAACTTAATCGAGGCGCGGCGATATAATTAAGAAGTTCAGCTATTCCCAAACGGCGACGCATGCCGCGTCTGCTTTATAATATGTCCGAGTATCGTCGCTCACACGTTTACCACCGCCGCCGCCACTTTGCTCTTTCGATTTAATGAATTTTAGATTTTAAGATATCACCCACTTAAGCCACTCCCACTGCTCATTAAAACTCCTGGCTCCTCCATCTTGCCTTATGTAATCTGAACTCCTCCCGCTGCCGGGCGCATCGTCAAATTATTTTTCCACTGTTGCGAAAATGGACGGTACGACCGCGGAACAGCCGAAATACCGGTGATCCCAATTTTTTGGCGATGAACTGGAAACCTTAATAGTGAAACTACTAGACGGGTCTGGGTTAGGTTTGATTGTTGACCTTCGTTGTTAATATTGAAATTTATGTTAAAAATTAATCTTAATTAATCTTATATACAGATTAGAATATACGTTATATAATATAGTCCTTAAAAATAATGTATTTTATGATATTTTAATTATTAAGTAAATAGTTATTGACAAGAAACAAATATTCCGAAACATTATTCAAATTCACTTAGTAATACACAAACTTGAATATAAGTAGATTAAAGTCTCAATAAACCCACTTTTATTATTTATAGCAAGGATAAGTTCGAATCTCAACTTTTCTCAAAATTCGATTGAAACTTTGCAATGCTTCGAGACTCTCGAAATTGGAAGTACTGATTTTATTTAGTAAAAGAAATATCATATTTTAAAGATTGAAGCCAACATTTTTGCATAAATCTTTATTGATTACAGCAGGATGCAACGAACATAACAATATCCAAAATACGATAGAATAAAGAGAAGAATATAAGAATATTCAAAACTATTTACGTAATTCAAAATCTTATTAAGGAATACTAACATTCACTTTGCGAAAGATTATTTATTGATTTTCTCTTTTTTTATCCGAGCTTCCAGAGTTTCAAATTACAAAAACAATGGAAAGTTTCGAATTCTCGAAACTCGAAACATCCTTGGATTTCGAGAGGTTTCGAGTAACAGATCCCTAATCTGCAGGTAGAAAAAACAGAAACCAGGCAATTCGACTGTTCGCTAGTTTTACCGTTACAGGACGTTCAACAATATTTTTATTTCACTTTTCGAATATTGGGGGAAAAAACTGTTCGTTGTGTCGCGATTTGCCGCGCGAATTTTTTATTCTATTCTAAGTCCCGAAGTGACTTTTCGTTATACAGCTCTTCGGGACCTAATGGCCAAAAGGTCGCTAATGACTAAAAAGAAAGAAGTTCCATCCACTGTCCCGCGCATTTTCAGCTCTAACGTGTGATTCGCCGAAACGGTTACACATACTAAGTCAGTCACGTCACGCGACGCACACGGCAAAAGACACCTTTTGCTCCGGTGTCGTCCAGCTAGCATTTTTGCGTGTGACGCATGATGCAAGCATTCAAGTCTCTGAGAAAAAGAACTGCTAGGATCGGAATTCCAGAGCAGAAAACCCGATCGGAGTCGAATGTGCTCACTGAATCGCGTAACAGAATCTCCAGCGCAAGATTGTCCGCTAGAGGCAGAGGCGATAGTGGGTCCGCGATAAACCTGGTAACGGTTGGCTCATTGATTACGCGACGCTAATCAGGAATAGCCATTTACAAACTCTTAAGTAAAGAGTACACGTTAGGGCGTTGAACCCGTATTATCTATTTATATCGTAGATCACAGAAACCCGCGTATATACGGCTGTTATTCAGCTGTTGGATTACACTAACAAGGGAAGGACTGGAACTGTCCAACATTGGTTTTAATCATTTTTCTGTGAGATGATAATATACATGTTTCTAATGATATATGTAAAGTATAGTAGCTACTCAAAAGTTTTGGAGATACAAGCAATTAAAGCGGGCTTGTTTCTTTTCGATTGAGTTTATTTTAAGGTGGTCACATTAACAGTAAAGTCGTTAGAGATCACTAACATTTAGATACATTACTGATTATTTAATACTTATTACATAATAACTTGGCAGCTTCGTAACTCGAAGATCTTAGGGTTGATCCTAGGTCCCCATAATACTCGGTTTATGTGCGTAACTTCGATTGTTTATATTTCTAAAACTATTTAGTAACTACATATAATATTTTATATATACCTTTAGGAATATGTACACTATCACCTCACAAAAAGTTATCAATATCGATGTCGGACAATCGAGCTCCATCTCTTGTAAGGACATTTTTGAACCGTTTATCGCTGATATGCAAATGCGGCGCGCTGTTCGTTAATAACGCGTGCAGAAGAACTTTATTGAAATACAATAAATGGAACGAACTTGATTGGATTAAGACTCGATACGTGTGCGCGCATCGTTCAGTCGCGTGTTCAATGATAAATCGAATTAAACTCTGATTTGAAAGTGAAATGTCGGATCATGAATAACGTTTAAACGGCGTCGATTTTTTCTCTGTATAAAAAACAATTGGAGCAATGTTGTATAAAGGACAATCATGGCAGAGGAATTATTTTTTCCTGGAATGGCTCGAAATTCTTGTAGAAGATCGCGATATAAAAATAAATAAAAAAATAAATAAAAAATGTGTGAGAAAATCCATATGATTCGAAGACATCATCGTTGTTTTTCCTTAACGTCAAGGTGACTTCAATAACCTAGCGTTTCTCAAACTGTGGCCATATACCACTCGAAATATGACTTATTTATTTGAAAATAATAAATAACTAATATTAAACATGTTCGAAATTGGTTGAATAAAATGCAAGGTGACACGATACGCTTCTAAAATCTGTCCAAAAAGAACAAATTTAGCATGATTTAACTCCTAAAATTAACAAATCAGTTTATTTAACGCACACTATTTCGTACCAACATGATAATTTATAATATATACATTTTATCATGAAAGTGTATCGCATGATACTGATAATCAAATGTACACACGCGTTCCATGTTAATCTGTAAATGCAATTATCCCCGAAACTATTCGTCATTTAAAGACTGTATCAAATGAAATTTTTTCTGTTTTAATTAGATAGACGTGTGCAGGAGATATGAACGTCAGTATTTTTCTAAAATCATATAAACTTTTTGCTTCAGATAATTCACTGTAAAAAAGCGATGTATACGTCGAAAACCTATAAAAACAGAAGAAATTGCATCTGTAATGTTTCTTAAATAACGATTACTACGACAAATAATTGTATTTATAAATTGAAACAGGACTCCCTGTATATATAATGATTTGTAATCATATGTAAATATCGTATCACTCGAAAAGACTTCTTTTATACACAATAAAAATAAATAAACATTTTAAACGAACAATACGAAACTCAATAAATTTTAAACTTCTTTATGAACTTTCTTTAAAAACATAAGAAAAACTTTCTTACAGAGAAACAACGCAATATATTTCGTAAACAATTACATCTGTTTATAACCTACTTTGTACAGTTTTGTGTTCTTATGAGAGCAAGAGAAATCCTCTGTTTATCAGAGTGTACTGAATAATATTGCATAATCACAACACGCTTTATCATTCAGCTGTATAAACACTAACTCACAACGCTGCTATTCCGATGCGCGTCACAGTTATATGGAAATGTCCAAGAACGAGACTGACATATTCATAGAGTTCGAACTTTCTCTACGAAAATAAAGAGAATTGGTTAACAGGCACGTAAGACGTAAACGCAATAGCTTTCAATTTTTCTCTATAGATACAGACCTGTCGAAAACTCGTAATTAGACTGCAGATCTTCGTGCAAATTCAAATTTCCAAGAATATAATTAGAAAAATATAATTAACACTGTATCCGGACCTGCTCTCGATCAAGGCAACCACTCACTAATTACCAATATGATTTTCGTCAGCGCGTAGGAGTATATTTTCACTTGTGAAGCTTTGTAACTTTAAAATCAAAGTATAAATTAAAACTTTTGTTCTAAATCAGCGTAATTTTAATAGGTAGCCGAGTCTTAAGCGTGCGAAATCGAAAAGCTGATTAATGAGCTTATAAAAAGACTACATTTAGGATATTTTATACACCTTTTCGTATAATATAGATTACTATTGTAACAAAAAAAATTAAATTAAATTCGATTGTATTTTATATTTCAGTGTGCCCGTTTTTACACTGGTATATAATATAAATGTATAAACATTCGCACTTCAATTATCACTACACGACGCTACACTATACAAAATGTCTCCCGAAAACTGGTCATCCACCATTTTTATGTTTCTATGTTTTCATGAATTTGTGTTTAAATGTGTACACTATACATAGACACTTAAGAAATACGCTTATAATAATTAGAACAGTATAGTACGAGTATAAAATATCCTGAAAAACATAAGATCAGCGGTTTTGCTATAATACTTCATAAATTTTTCAGAAACTATAACGTTATCAATTTGATAAATCTAAATTGTTGAAATACTATTTTCATTTCCACAACAAATACCTCACGCTATTTACGTCAAGAATTTTTTTACCGTTAATACAATAAACGACTTCGAAAAGCTCAAAACAATAACCCGCCCAGTTTTCTGGAAAAACAAAACTTCCGAAAAACCGTCGAAAATTCAATGTGTTACGTTAAAAGCTTCTATTAAAAGGGCACGGTCGATTGAAAATTTAAAAAAATCGATTCTCTGTTACGCAATTACATCGAACGACAATTTAGAAATGTTACAAAGCAAGTCGAACATAAAAATTCAATGAGTTTACCGAGTTAGAATATTCCGAAATAAACGGTTAAAGTACACCGTTTCCGCCGAAACTTTGGACGTGTTTTTCCCAAAACTAATTTCTAATTTCGATGAGCGTTAAAACTCGAGCTGCGTTCGACTAATTCAATTTCAGTTTCGCGTGTGAGTCCTTGAAAAGAGTTTTTAATTTGATTCTCCATTTCTTCGTTACACACGACGAAAGGAAAAAGCTTCGTTTAATAAACTGTCAAATTTCTATCCCTGAAAATTAAAATTTTGTCCGAAATTATGGTAGCTTTGCAAGCACTCCAGTAACTTTCGAAGAAAAAGCTTTTACCGAGTAACTATTTATCTGAATACTTAGTGACACTCACTGTATCAAAGAGCTAATTAACGTTCTTTCTGCATATTTTTGTACAACGATGCTTTCCAATCGATTTCAATAGATTTCAATCGACGTACGAGTAGACAAATTTTATTCCCAATTCCTCAAAATACATATCTTAGCAAAAATTGCAAAAGAAGGAATAATCCAAAACGGATCGTATAGATCTACATACAGATTTAACAAATCCCGATCCAAGCATCTCACGTTGACTTGCACTTCGATATAAACGAAGAAATCAATTCGTAAGAATTCCACAGAAAAACCTCGTGGCTTTCCGACAGTGGAACTGAAGAAACGATACCGAGCAGTCCAGCGATTTCATTAACCGAACAACGAGTCACCGTCTAAACGTCCCGCCTCTCCAAACGGATCGAGAACCCCTCGTCGGGATTCATCGAGAAGTTCCTCTTGCTGAATTCGATCGGTATCCTCGTCTTTCCGGTTGGTTTCAGGCGAAACCTGTGCAACAGATGGGCGACGAGAATCTTCGTCTCCATCAAAGCGAAACGATTGCCGATGCATTTCCGCGGGCCGACTCCGAACGGTATATAGCTGTACGGGACGATCTTGTCCTTGTTCTGCTCGCTGAATCGCTCCGGATCGAACTTGTCCGGCTCGGGGAAGTACTTCGGGTCGTGATGGAGCGCGTAAACAGGGAACCAAACCATGTCGCCCGGACTGACGGTCGCGTGGCTGTAACCGGGCCCGGCCGCCGGCAGCACGAACTTCTGCGCGCATATTCGGTCGATGAACATCACCGGGGGATACTTCCTCAACGCCTCCATCGTGACCATCTCCATGTACTCCATCTTGAGCAGCGCCTCGTACGAGATCGCGCCGTTCCCGTCGGCCATGCAGCGGTCGATCTCGTCGCGCAACCTGTCCTGGATCTCCGAATTGATCGCCAGCTCGTGGACGACGTAGCACATCAGCGTCGAGGACGTGTCAAAGCCCGCCAGGAAGAAGATGAACGCCTGCGCGACGATGTCGTCGATCGTCATCTGCTCCGTGGCCGGCGTGTCTTTGTCCCGCGCGTGCATCAGCAGGTGGATCATGTCCGTCCTGATTATCTTCTGCTCGTCTCGGGTCCGCACCGTTTCCGAGACCACTCTGTGGAAGAAGTTCCTCGAGTCCCGCGAGAGGAACGATAGACCGGCCAAACGCGTCAGGCGGGGATTCATCCGGAACAGGAGGAACTTGAACAAACGGAACAGTCCGTCGAACCTGGTCGCGTCCGCTCCCTTCTCGTAGAATTCGTTGTTCCGGTTCTCCAGGGAGTTCACGCTGATCCCGAACACCACGGTGGCTATCACGTCGTTGGTGTACCTGGTGAATATGTCCTTAGCCTCGACCGTGCTGGAGAACTCCGGGTGCTCGTACAGGTAGCCCACGAACTCCTCGGAACACTTGCATACCAGTTCGAAGATGAACCTCATTTTGCTAGCGGTGAAGGAGGGGCTCAGCGTGTTCCTCATCTTCTTCCAGCGGTCGCCGCGCAGCGAGAAGACGTTCTTCCCGAAGATCGGGTCCATCTTCTCGTTGACGAAGCTCTGGTGATCGGGGAAGTGTTCGAAATTCTTTATGCCTATCTCCCTGATCAGCTCCGGGTCACGGATGATCACCGTCGGGGTCGCGAAATCCATTCCCCCGATATATCTGACGTCCGGGTAGTAGTTGTAGATGAATTTCAAGTATTCCGGGATCGACATTCTGCGGGTGAGGATCTTCCAGCCGGATCCGAAGACCGGCATCGACCAGATGTAGGGCACCCGTCGCCGCTTCCAGTGGGTGCATTGTCCGTAGAGCAGAGAGAGTAGCTTGGCTAGACCGATGACTATCAAGCCGACTACGAGGAACTTGAACGAAACGGAGGACGGAGGTGGCTCCATCGCCGCGAGGGTGGACTGCGAGCGACTACGTTCCGTAACTAGCAGGAATGTTATAAATATGAGTGAATACATGGACAGATTTATCGTTCGACGAGATGCTGCAGGAGGAGGGAGTGACGCGCCTCTTACGTCAACCACTTGACAGTCCGCGTTGTTCCTCGCTGATGCCTTCTGAAAATGTTTCTCTCCTCTGCCGAAACGCTCGCGAAAATTTCTCACGGGTGACACGTTGCGATACGTTCGGAAAAATGAGAGCACCGAGACATTCATCGAGATACGATGAGAATTTGTAGATTTTTGGAACCTGTTTCTTTCGGATGTTTCGAACTGTGAGACTCGTTTGGTATATTCGAGGTATGTTGATTTAAAGATAACACTTTTTTTTCGTTGGAGTTAAGAGTTTATCGTGAAACTGGAAATAATATTTGTAGCGCGTTTCTAATCATCTGAAATTAGGAATTTAATGTAATTTATTGAAGTCTAGGGATTAATAGTATAACCTGAACAACCGTATTTAGTGGAAATAAATGTATCAGTGTATCTGTAATTTAATATGTTATTATATTGTATATTATATGATTCGATGTAATTTCTCAGCTAACTCGTTGAGGATGTCAAAATATCATTACTTAAAAAAGAAACAGTTTTCTGAACTTTAGAAAATTTATTTGTTATATGTTAATCGTATTAAATATCTCGGTTTATTATTTTGATTTTTTCTTATGTTTTAATAAACATTTTAATTTTATTAAGGAACGTAATTTTTTAGAAAATTTACCTAGAATGTAGAAACCTAAATACCTTTGCTAAAGATGTAACCTATAATTAAAATATCAAATAAATATTCTATAAAGAATATCAATTTTTATATGTAGCTTATAAAGATAAAGCTATACAAATTAATGATCATGATTATTCAAAAATACACATTTTGTTAAATGTTTCTGATATAGAATCTACTAAATCTCAAGTAAGATTTTTACGTATAAAATAATTTCGAATCTTGTGTATACTGATTGCAATCATAATTTCTATAAAAACACTTTCCTTCCTTGAGACCATAAACTAAAACTGATCTTTGTCTTCAATGTTCAATCAATTACACTGATTAGATTAAGTAATACTAATTTTATAAAAGATATTCGATTAAAGAATTATCAAAATGTTTAGATGTTTTTCCACGAAAAGAGAAATTAATAAGATAATTAACGTACAACGTTATGATTCGAGCATTCGAAAAAACGGAGAAGCTCGTGATGAAACATACATGTGACTCTTACTTGAATTTCTATCGATGACCGTGTACACTAGGACAGATTTACAGTTACATCGGTGTTATTAACCTTGCATCGTAGAGCATTTAAACTCTAACAGAAATGTGTCAAAGCCGGTTTGAACTTTCTTTATTCTTGGACCGTGCATCGTAGTACCGATGCTGACGTAAGAACTGTTTTCGTGTCACGATGAAAGAAAATGAAAGAAAAACACTGTTCTCTTTGCACCACTGTTTGATCTGTTTTTTAAGATAATTATTTGTTCAAAAATTTATACGAATTAACACTAAAATTATAAATTCTTAAAAATGCATTTATTGAGACTTTGATTATATATTTTGGAATGTACATTAGTGGAGTGATTTGTTTAATAATTTCTCAGAAAATTATCCATCCCTTTTCAATAACATGTCACTTTAACTCTAGTGTTAAAAAACAGAGGGTGATTATTATAGAGAGAAAAAAAAGATTTTACAAGTATAACATTTTACATTATAGGGGAAAAGAAAAGTAAAAAGAGAAGATTGACCCAAAAGGTCATATACTAATAATTAATATTATTAGTATCATTTGAACTATTAATATTGTTAACATTATTTTCATTGCATAAAGATTTATAATGTTTACATTATTGTAAGTGCTATATACTGACATTTATTGTGTAGTTTATATGATTGTTCCTAGAAAAATTGTTGTTCAGTTACATTTTAGAAATTAGAGGTTCAAAAATAGATAATTAGGATACACATTCGTCTAATAGCATCAACCAAAATCAACGTTATTTATGAAATAACATGTACAAAATTCAAAGTGCGTCAAACTGACGCGTTCCGTAAACCTAGTGTTAAACTCTGTATAATCCAACAACATATGAAACATTGATATAAAATAACTTTGTTCCTTAATTTACGTGTGATTTCTCTTCAAATTAGATTCAAAAAATATCATCTGTATCTCATCGGAACATATTGAATATTTCTAGTGAAAAATGTTCGAACACAAAGAATTAATTATATCAAACAGTCGGTAGTTTTAGTATTAAAAAGATATGTCATATCCTCTTGACCAATCAGAATGCGAGTTAAATACAACGTTCGAACCGGTGCAAGCCTACTTCTGTTCAGGTTGTTCACCTGAGGCTTCGGGCGTTGGCCCGGTGTAAAAACTTACAGGGGAACCTTTTCAACCAGCACACGCCGATTTTCATGAAATTTATGTGAGGCACGGTTCTCGAGAAAACATTTGACATGTATTTTTTCTTATCTTCCTAACGAGGGAACCTTTTCAAACAGCACGCGCCGATTTTGATAAAACTTATGCGAGATATAGTTTTCAAGAAAATATTTGACGTGCATTTTTTCTTATTGGCCAACGTCCATTTTAAACGGGCAAAAACACCCCTCAAAGTTAATGGTTAAAAATGTATTTTTTACAATATCTCTGAAACCGGGGGATAAAGAAAAAATTCGCCCCGAAATGAACAATTTAGATTTTTTTTATAAATCCGGTAGTTTCTAAGAAATCGTAAGAAATATACTTTCAACTTTGAGGGATGTTTTCACCCGTTCAAAGTGGACCTTGGCCAATAAGGAAAAATACGTGTAATATTTTCTTGAGAACCATACAAAATCAAAATGTTCAAAATGTTGATAGGATTTCGGCCTAGTTGGTTAAAGTTTTTCCTATAAATGATCTGCTGCTTCAATTAATACAAAAGAAAGTATATGATTGTACTTATAAAAGTAGTAGTAACTTCCATACCATTTACAGACATTCATCCAGGGCGAAACAAATTATAAGTGTACCAAATGACTGCTCTTTGAAGACAGAACAAAAGAAATTTAAAACATTCTTTAAATAACAAGCGAAATAATTGCATTTATAGATTAAAATCGAACACGCTATACATGAATAAATGATCGTATTCCAATTCTACTGCGCAGTACTTTCAACAAATCAGGAAAATAGTTCTGGTCCAGGTGCAGCATGTAAACGGAAAATCAAACCCATTCGTTCGAGTGTACAGTTACATTGTTGCAACCAAATCCAGACGAACGTAATTCGAATTTCAACGTGAATTGCCTATCGATGAACGCAACGGGAGGATACGTTCTGGCCGTTTCTGATACCACTGTTCCCAGGTATTTCATTTTCGTTGCGCAGTCTTTAACGCGAGAACGTGATTTTCGCGATATTCCTGCGACAATGAATTCTGCTTGTAAAAAGCTTTATAGATCAGGTTTCGAAATTAGTTCGGTATCTTTCCGTTCGATTCATTGCAAGTTCATTTTAAACATTTTTCCTTATATTTTGAGGTCTCCCATTTTTGCTTTGCAAATGGAAGAGATAAATGAAATTAGATTATTTTATAAGTGGACAGTAAATTTATATAAACATATGCATATGATAGCCGTACATATGACACATTCGTAAAAACATATTTATCGAAGAATACAATGGAAACAATATTTACACGGTGTAATAGGGCTGAAAGTAATGTTAAAAACAAACTTCTGTCATGACAGAAAATATTATCATACCGATAAATAAACGTTGATAGATTGATATTATATCTGAACGTTGATGAGTGATAATCGTTGATTAGTAGCACACGTGACAGTTATTGTCGAAATGTTAGAAAGCTGCTGAATTAATTTTTAAATACCTAATGAAAAGCTAGTTTGCTTTTACCCAAAAGGAGAGTGCAAGGCCTTCTGGTCACCGATTTCGTTGAAACTTTGCATATTGGTAGATTTGGTTCTCCCGTTTATGAATATATACCATTATATGAGCAGATACTTAATAGTTTTTTAGATATTCGTTATTAAAAATTTATCACGTCAATAAGTGCAATATTAATCAAAATAATCACCAAGTTGAATAGTTGCGTGAGGATAACGTTCTGGAATTGTACTCTGTAAACCAGGGTTCGATTCTCCTGTAGGAGAGAAATATTTTGATTTTTTTATTTAAATTAGTTCGATTTTGTGCATGTTCAATGTTAATAAAAAATTACTTTATTTCCTAGAAGGTTTGACTATATAAAAAAATACAAAATGTAATATATAAACCTATACAAAATTCAAATAGTACGAAAATACATAAAACAGAAAAATATAACAATGCAAGATGTATGCAAATGCAAAAAAAGTAAAAGAACAAGAAATATAACATACATATAGGAATGGCATGTACCACAGTGGGGACCTTTTAACTCTCCTCACTGCCAGTACCTCCGCCGAACCGCTCATCTAACATAAACAGTTTATGTTAGAGCTGATAAGACATTTCGCCTGCATCGAAGTCCTTTATATTCCTCAATTTATATTCCTCATCGTTAGTCAGTTTCTCTTCACGACTGCAGTTCGTAAGACGAAAAAATGAATCCATAAATTGAAAAATATTGTATTTTATCTACAGTTTGTTTATACAATCTGTGCCCGTGTACACAGGAAGCACTGTACGTAATCAAGTTCATTAGTTCCCTCCAAAGCGAGAAAAGAAGACAATGCAACTAACAGAAAGAACATTTTTTCTTTTCAATGTTGTAAGATAAAAAATACGAATTTGCTAAACAACTCGTGAACCAGATCGAAGAAAACACGACATTCGACCTCCACAAAGTCTCGCTTTGCACGCTTTCGCAGCAATAGACCAGGACAATCTATACGAACACCGTGAGAAACAGTAAGAACAGAAACGCGACACTAAGGAAGTAAAACGCAACAATAACGAGGATAAACTGTCCTTTATTTCGCCTTAAAAAATACTGGCACAGTACGACTTTATTAACTAATCTCAAACCACCTACTCCAATATTCTCCATTAAAATTCAACAGGAACCTAAAACCGTAACATTAAAACAATATCAAAGAAAAAACAACAAAAATGAAACTACATAACAACAATAACAGAGCCCAAGCTAAAGATCCCTCTTCTTCAAAGTGAACCATATTCCGTCCACTGGAATCAACTGGAAGCTATTCTTCTTGAACACCAGCGGTTTCGTCTTCTCATTGGGCACTATGACGAACCTCCGTAGAAGACTGACCATCATGATCTTCACTTCCATCAGCGCGAAACGATTGCCGATGCACATTCGAGGTCCAACCCCGAAAGGTATGTACGTGTACGGGACAATGTTCGTCTTGTTCTTCTCGTTGAACCGTTCCGGAATGAATTTCTCCGGTTCGGGGAAGTACTTCGGATCATGGTGGAACGCGTAAGAGGGGTACCAAACACTGGTTCCCGGCTGCACGGTGACGCCCTTGTAGCCAGGCGCAGCGGAGGGCAGGTCGAACCTCTCCGCGCAGACCCTGTCGATAATCACGACGACAGGATACATCCTAAGCGTCTCCGAGATCACCATCTCCATGTACTCCATCTTGGCCAGAGCGTCGTACGAGATGCCGCCGTTCTCCTCGGCTAGATAGCGATCCACTTCCTCCCGCAGCTTCCTCTGGATCTCCGGATTCACCGCCAGCTCGTAGGTTAAGAAAGACATCGCCGAAGACACCGTGTCGTAGCCGGCCAAGAAGAATATAGCTGCCTGCGCGACGATGTCGTCGATCGTCATCTCCTTCGACAGCTTCTTGCCTTTAGCCTCCAACAGCAGATGTATCATGTCGGGTCTGACGATACCTTGCTCCTCGCGCGCCTTCACCGTGTCCGCGATGACTCCTTGAAGGAAGCTCATCGTCGACTTCGAGAAGAACGTGAATCCCAACCTTCTACAGAAGCGGGGGAACAAGTAGAACATCAGGAACTTGAAGAATCTGAAGGTAGCTACGTTCTTAGTGATATGGTCTCCTGCCTTGTAGAACTCGTTGTCCCGGTCCTTCAAGGAGTTCACGCTGATGCCGAAGGCCGACGTGGCGATCACGTCGTTGGTGAACCGCCTCAAGAACTCCTTCGCGTCCACCATGGAGCAGAGGTCCGGATGGTGGTACAGGTACTCGAAGAAGTCCTCCGAACATTTGGACACCAGGCCGAACATGAACTTCATCTTGCTAGACGTGAAGAACGGGCTCAGCGTGTTCCTCATCTCCTTCCAGCGGTCACCGGTCAACGAGAACACATTCTTCCCGAAGATCGGATCCATCTCTTCGTTGGGGACGCTGCGGTGATCGGGGAAGTGCTCGAAGTACTTCACGCCTAGCTCCCTGACCAGTTCGGGGTCCCTAATCAGAATGGCCGGGATGCTGAAGTCCATCGCCCCCACGTATCTCGCGTTTGGGTGGCTGTTGTAAATGGACGTCAGGTGATCCACGAACGTTTCTAGCCGAAGGACCAGTCGCCACGCGCTGCCATAGAAGGGAACCCCCTGCACGTACGGTACCCCGGATTTCTTCCAGTAGACGTGCCTATTGTGCAGGAACGCGGCGAGCTTTGTTAAACAGAAGGCGATCAGGATGACCGCCAGTAGCCCGAGAGCAGGGAAGATCGACGTGAACACCATCGTTAGGTATACCGCGCGAGCCGCTAATAAGAATCCATCATTAGCGCTCCTTATAAGTACTAACCAGAACACACCTGTGGACGACAGTGCTTACTAAGAGGGAGAGATTCCGGGGAACCTTGACGACACTGCCAGATAACAGTCCACTGAACCGTGAATTTTTATATAAGCAATATTTTTCGAGATCCTCGCCGATAGGCAGAGCCATTTTGAAAAGAGTATTAAGTGTTATTTCGTATTGCAGGAGATATGAGGATCAATTAATTCCGTTGTTTCTGCTTATCAGATAGAGGAGGTCGTTTACCGCATGATACAGAAGATCGAATAATAGATCAGGAAGCGATAATGCGGGGCTTTCGGCAAGGTGACATGAGGCATTTTCCCAGAAAACTTTTCTTTGCGAAATATACGTATCCGGTTTGGTGATCTGAGTTTCATTCATCATTTCAATACACTCTTTCTAGAAACTGAGGTTAGTGGGAACTCCACAATTCTACGATGAGTGATTCTACTATGAGACCAAAGATTCTTTAATGATTATGCATTAGTAATATATACCACCCCTATTTTGTTGAAAGGCAGACAGTTCTGTTAATTATGCTTTTAATTATGATCTGTAGGCAACGTGTCCGTACTAACCCAAGTTAGCCCTATAGTTCAGGCTCCGTAATTGTTGCAAATTGTTACAAGTTTGCGTACACGCAAACCTTCCTTGAATGAAAGTCAGCAGGACTTGCGAAAATCCGATATTTTCCCTCGAAAATCATTCGTCATTTAGTTTTGAATAATGAATCAACGTTATTGTGTCGAGGTACCCAGCTTTTGGAAGCTATTTGTTTGAGGAAGACTGAAACTTCCATTGACATTGAACATATTAATTTAGTCCCTACATTATTACTAAATGTAGCTCAAATCGTAACACTTCTGCCATCATCTTGATGTATGGCAATGTTCCGTTTTTCTTAAATCGTGAAAGTAGAACTTAAAACCACGTGATTCATCCCCATTGAATCTCCATTCTTCGAAATTTCTATTTACACAGGCTTGTCAATTTTAGACAATTTTCAAAACAAAGATTATCAAATTATTATAGACACAGGGTTCTACAATTCTATGTACTAGAACAAAATAAACAGACATTCTTTTAACAAAACAGCATTCGCACAAACAGAAATTCATTAAACTTGTAACTTCCTTATCCGATAAAGGAAAAATTTTGATATTGACATAATTGTAGTTAATAAGATAATGATTTTTATACAGATTAAAATTATCTTTAAGTTTTTTTTCCGAGTGAGTACAACGACGTAACTTGCGACAGTTACAGAAACTGATGTACAATCGAAAGTGTATAAAATTTAATAAATAATAAAAATAATTAAATGTATATATGAAACGGTAAAACCCTTGGTTTTGTATTGAACTTAAAAATTCTTTATTTTACAAATCGTCTAAAATCGAAAGCTTTGAATATGAATACATAATTAGACACTCAACCGAAAATGATAAGAAACAAGTATATTTAGTGGAATTATGAAAATTTCGTTGACCGTATGTATCTGGACGATACATTTCAAGGTTGCATTTAGCTTTTCGATAAGAATAAAAAATATATTTTTAAAGAATAAATAATGCAAAGTTAAAACACAACCTTCATTGCGTTTGACAATTGCATAAGCAATTCTAAATTAGTTCATTGATCCTTTAATCGTCAAGGACGTAAATATTCGCAGTATCAAAGAACCATTGAATATATTCTGCTCATCTTCTTAATTACACTTTAAGTGTAAAAAGTCTATTAACAATAATAATATCAATAATATCAATAATATCAATAATATCAATAATATGGAACTATTATTCTTCAATATAATAATAATTTAAATTATATACTTTGAAAGCACAAAATCCTGTCAGTTATAAAATCAAAGATTGAGAACAACCAAATGTACTTTTTGTGTTAAACTTCAAGTAAATAATATTAGAGATGAGACAAAATTTCGTTTTTGACAAGTTATCGTATTTGCTTCTGGAGAAAACTTTATCGGATCTCTATAAAGCCATAAGAATCTTATAAAAAAATACATATATTTAACGAACAACTATTTCTTCAAATTTGAAGGGACAATTTTATATTATAAAGTGTTTAATATTGTTAAGAATCTACGGTATTAAAGCATTTAAAGCATATTTCTAAGTACCATATGTAAAAAATTAAAAAATTCTTTTCTTCAATCTAGCTAAAAATGGAAAACTGATAGATTTATAAGTAACTTAATAACGTCTTTAACTACGTTCTTAACGGATTATTAAATATGAAATAATATCCATCAAGGCTTGTTCTGAATACAAAAAACATTGACATTTTCAATAAAAGATACGAATAACTGTCTCTAAATGAATATTAATACTTGCGATACTAAAGGAAGCGAATACGGTCGGATAAAGTTATTATTAATATGGTCATCATATTTTCAATCACTTACCGATAAACACGAAAATCTGATGATGCGAATATCGCAGCAACATCGAAATGGAAATGGTCTGAAAGAAGAATAATTTAACGTTACATCAAAGGGTACTAAAAAGGTAGATTAAACAAAATTTTCAAAAACCAGATTAATGAGAAATGTAATATCATCTAAAATTATGCACTCTACTCTTCCTGGCACACACCTACACGGACATGAACACACAAAGATTGAATTTCAGATAATAAATTCTTTGTAAACCTATTTCCAAAACTAAACACTCGACTTATTAAAATTATTAGGGAAATTCTTTGTTATTTTAATTCTTGTTGATTATTTTGTGAGACAGTAACTAAAGTTCATGTAGAAATCAAATATGGTGTTCTAATTGTTTGTTTTCATTTAAATGCGTTTCTATGAAAATACGACCATCTCTGCTAGAATTAACCGAATGCCATTCAGAAAAGCTTGATCGAACTATCACGAATTTTACATAAACTGTTAGTAATTCACATAAGAGTAAATAGATGCAAGATTATTACAATCACTAGTAGTATACGCCCAAATCTCATCAGAAAATGTAAATTTCGAGTAAATACATGTATCATTGTAAAACCTATCTCGATTAAGCATTTGAATTAAATACATGTACAACGCGCAAAATATTTAACACGAATTTATTTAAAAATGTGGCTTTATACAAAGAAAGCATCACTTTACGATGTTTCTCAACATTCTCGCCACGTTCGTCTATTTTTTAATAATACGAAATTCATAACCACAAACCACTGTACGCGTCACGTATAAAATCGTGTGTTCTTTAACAAAAAAGAAGGGAGATTACAACAAAGCTACGTTACGAGATAAATTGCGAATCGTGCAGTGCTCGCCCGGGTTATCCGGTTCGGAGTGAATAGTGCAATTGAATTGCGATCGGCTCGGAATGAACTAGCACCTGACACCCCGGAGATAATTTACTATTTATTTGCAATGAACGACCTTAGTAACGGGGCCGTTTAATCGTACTTTGCAGATGCGCCGGTGTTATTTACAACGGACCAGACGGAAAAAGTTGCTCACCCGTGGGGCTCGAAAACAGTCCCAGTTTTAAATGGAAATTATATTTAATACGAATTTAATACGTTCGCTACCAGCGTCGCATATTTAGGACGATCGATGTTTCGTATTTTGTGTAGAAAAGAATAAATCACATTTACGTGTGTTTTCATTTAATGTTGTAACACGTGGTATAATATGTAGGAAGTCACAAACTTTTTTTTTCAAGATTATTATTTATATTTTGTAAAGACGATATGTTTTATTAATAAAATATTGTAACCGAGGCTGTTATTGAAAAAAGTGCTAGTAGTGAATGGATTAAATGAAATAAAACGACTTGTTCGCATGAAAATGTCTAAAGAATTCTTTTTCAATGTGATACAGAGTGAATCGCGCAACTAATTTATTTTTTACCAGTCACAGAGCAAGAACGAAAAATCGAACATAACGAGGAAGAAAAGTTTAAGGTGTTACCATTGAAAACTGAATATTTCTTGCGATATTTTATTTTGAATATCCAGTGTTGTGCAAATACTTTACACTGTGCATCTTATTTACTAATAATGTGCTTTTAGTGAATATTCAAAGTAGATCTCGAAAAATATTGAGTTTCCAATGATAAGATTTTTAATCTTTTTTACGTACATATAGCCCAAAGAAACGATTGATATAGAAAACATAAATTTTCATTAAAAAAGAAGTGCAATTGCATTTTGAAAATCATCTGAATACTGATTCTTTACTATGCTAAAGCTTGCAAATAGTCCAAAGCTTTGATTTTTTCAAAGTTCAACAGGAATAAAACTATAGTTTGTTCCAGTTAATATCTGTATATATAAACATATACATTCTGTATATATTTATCAAATTTCAACAATATCTACAAGAATTCCCCACTGAATTCCAGGTCGCGAAAAGATAAGCATTAAAATTTGTTGGTCAGCGAAAACGCATTTATAAAATCTGCTTTCCACCAAAGTTCCCTCAAAATTCGATGTCGCTTTGATGCCACAGATGAAAAAGGAAAGAAAGATCCGATGAATAAGAGGGAACTGTGAGAAAGAGGAGGAGGAAGGACAAGAAGAAGAAAAATAGTGTCGGAGGACAGATTGTATTGGAGCAGAGTAGCCGATGCCGTGTGCACATGACACAGGAGATACGGGGTAGTACGCGGATGACGACAGTCCCGTACACGTGACGTTACAGAGGGTTGACCGTGGGTGGTTCCAGGTGGCACTCCAAGCACCGGAGTAGCATTCACGTGTTGTTGCACGGGTTCGCCCGCCGCCAACCCGTCCCTCCGACTACATTCAAAGCGTTCCGAACGGCTCTATACAGGCTCGAATATTACGTGGAAACTCGTCGGAAAGAGTAACAACGTATTTAGCACAAAATGCTGAGTTAACGATAATTGCCGGGGAAATCGAATCATCGGAATACAGCGAGTCCGATCAGTCGGGCCCTGATGGATTTGCTAATTCCCGACCGCCGCGGGGCAAGAATTAGCCGCGCCGAACAAAAATATTCCGCCCGTCCGTGAACGACAATTACAATTATAAAAAGGAACGACTCGCGATTCCAACGAAATTGTAACCCGATGAACGTTGGGTCGCGGTGGTGCAATCGTAACGAACTGTTCCATTTGCACGGACATTTGAATTTAAAATGAACCGAATCGAGCTCCACGGCGCGTTCTAATATGGCGAGATTTAGAGGATCCGCTCGGATCGAGATTAGGTTAAAAATGAAAACTCTCGTGCCCGAGTTGATGAACTCGAATGGTGATAGTCGATGATTCGTCGTTAAAATACTCTGATCAGCGTATACGAATGTTTCTTCTAGTAAAATTACTCATGCATGGAGTAATTGGCTTTTCACTATGTCTGCCGTGAATACATAGATACGGACTAGATGCAGCCTGCCATACAATGCGTCACATTTGAATCATGGTTAGTGGCATGCAGTATTACTCATTTGTTCTAACGGTGTGAACCCATTAAACAGGAGCGAAGCTATTCGTTGGCCCGTGTATGATCCAATCACTTCCTAACACCCAGGGAATACCCCGAAATTTCACGAGCCATTTGGCATTCACGGTGTTTACGTTGGTACGTGGCTACCAATAATGCACTGATATGATTATCTCCTTGATTATACGGCAAAAGTTATCCATTAATGAGAATTTCATTCTAAGTAACCGATACGATTATTCTCCTTGATTATACATTCGAATCACTGTTTATTCGTGTGAAATATATAGAGAAAAAAGAAATATAATTTGCAGGGTGAATTTCGAATGTTCGAAATAACATCCGGATTTTATCGATTGGGAGAATTTTAAGCGACTATTGTTAAGATCGAAGATGACCGATTCGCGTTTCAATGCGATGCAAACTACGCTATTGAATCAATTGAAAATTCCCGGCAATCATTATTTTGACTAACAACGTAACGATACAACTTATTTGGAGACAATTTGATACGAAATTACCGGCTTGGGGCCTCTGTAACGAATACGATGCCCCTAATAACGTTGATTTATGCCCACCGGTTCAACTCCAAAGGGATCGCAGAATGTGAGGACGCGAGGGGGTTGGGTGGGTGTAACGCAGACTACCTCAGTGCGTTACTTTGAATTGATTGCCGTATCCTTTTACACGTACCAGTTTGTCGTGTAGATATGTACGGCACCGTCCCCTCGACAGGGAAGAATATATCCGGATCGAAAACACGTAGCACGGGAAAACTAAATCTAACTTACGTATTCAGAGTTTTTTCGTCTAATCGCGACTGATGCATCTGATACTTAGACGCATAATTCAAAATACGAACGGTTCAATTTATTTTCTTAAATCGAGAAAATCGAAATATCTATAAAGTATGTTCTCCTTTCGTGATCCAACAAATAACAATCAATTCATGCAAAAAACATTCAATATTTAAACTATGCCTACAACACGAACTTTGTATGTTGCAATGAAAAATATATACTTACAAATAGTAACATAATGAAAAATGCAGCAAGATATGAAGTTCTAGCCATCCACATGCTTACAAATCGGTAATGTTCTCCGGTCACTACATTTCTGTAAAATAAAGGATATACATCTCAATTTGAATTGAAATAACATTTAGTATTCAGTGAATTGTGTTTTACTATTTAGCAATTGCGTACCTTAAAAAGCCGTTATTGTCTTCATGTTCTGCTAATGTTTTAATACTCGCCATTAACAAATCATCATATCCCAAGAATTCATCAAGAATTAATCTTGAAAAATCGTCACCAAAGCATTTATCATTTACAGGATCCAAAGTAACAATTTTTACAGGAATGTTTAACCTTTGCCTAGCAACAGGTGATAATCTCAAGAAACCGTATTCTAATGAATATTCTACAATATAACCGTCATCTAAAAACGTAAATAATTTAAAATGGTATTAATACAATACTTTATTATTATTGTTGTTATTGTTGTTTATTCTCCAATTAAACAAACAATCTCATTTAAATATTATTATAATTTTACTGTACCTGTTCTTGTTGCTTTGTCGGTTTCAGAGTTCTGTTCCTTTAATGGTTGAACATCCTCTGTGTTAGATTTATTTACGTCTTCCCCTCCACTACTGTTTTGTCCATTTGTTAATTGTATAATTTTGTCATCTGAAGTCTAAAATTTTTATTGAAAATAATATTTAGTACAATCATATTTATAATGTAAATATAACGACGCTTCGAAAAATTTGATAATTCAAACAGGTCTGAAAACGTGAAACGAATTTGAAACGATAATATATAATATTTAGCATGAATTTCAAATGATCCAGACATTAATTTTCACTAATTTTAAATATTCCAATTTCACAACCTTTTCATTTTTCACACATCGCTTGATAAACGATCCTTGAAACAATTATATAAATAGGACATCAGAGCAATGGTTTGCATAGTGCTATCACTGTTATCCTATTTTGTTGATTATTTATCTTGTGTCCTATAATCTATCTTTGTTAGAATAACAATGATAAATAACAATGATACTCAACTTTCAAATAATCGGATGACCGAAATTTTTCAAATATTTCGAAGAGTTACTGTAAATAGTTTGATATTTGTTCAGTTATAGATACCTACTTGTTCAGTATTTGTATTTACTTCGTTCCAAAATTTTGTAGCAAATGAAGGACTCGTTGTATTACTTATACTTAAATTTGGATCTTGTGCCTCATTAGAAACAGTAGAACCTCTAATAATTGTTTCTTTCTCGGGTAATGTTAAACTGTCATGATGTTCTTCAGTAGTCAGTTTGCCACTGTCTCTATCCTCGTCAACAGCAGATGGTTCTATATTAATAAACCTATCAATGAATCATAAAGAAATAAATAAATTAATGTAAAGTATTGGTACATAAGATAAAAAATGTATATATTAGACATTTTATTATTAAATATGTATACACAAAATTTGGTCTTACCCATCTCTAGGTAATATGCCCAAAGCATTAATTAAGTGATCAACTTTCTCTTGTCTCAATTTCTCTTCTTTCGCATAACTCTTTTCTATACTATAATCTTCTCCTCCATTTCTTAGTATTTCAACTCTTAATATGCCATCCCGAGGCCAATCATCTCTTATATGTTCTAAACAATTAATTGGTGCACGTGAAAATACTATGTGAATATAAGCCAACACAAAAAATGCTAATATGGCCTGAAAATGTATAATTTATAGTTATTTAATAGTATATTATTCAGTTGCTATATTATTCACTTATAAAGATAAGCGAAACAATAAATATATAAAAATTTGTTAACCTTTAACAGAACTATAAATTCTATCAAACGTCTGACAGGCCTTGGAAATGTTCTTGCATAAGTTAATGCAGCTTTGAAAAATATTGCGTAAAATAATCTGTCCCGCACATTAACTAATGTGTTTTGATTATTATTATTTCTAGTAGTATTCATGTTGTTATTATTTAAGGTTCTCCGAGTAGTACCACCAGCGATACGATTGTTATGTACAGATGCGCTATTCTGATTATTCGTTACTGGTATGGCACCGCCATCAACTTGTGGCATTTTAAATATTATATAATATGTATTTTTAGCAGATAATGCTGTATTTAATAGATTTTTCACATACAAGCCTCATGTATTATATTTTTCGAAAAATACGTACACATATTATATATGTACATTTCCAAATTCAAACTGGTTTCACAATATTCTGAAACAAATGAAGATAATTATATAATATAAAATTATCATACATTAATGTATATATACATTTATAATCAATGTCATAACAATTGTTCTTCTAATGTACTATACATTTTAGACTCTTGATAAAGTAGGTCATACATTATAATAATCTATGCATGCTATAATTATACACCTTTTGTAACTTCAAATTAGAATCCAAGTTATTTATATTTAATATAATAAAAAAAATATTATCA